TTTATTTTGATGATTAAAATGGATTATACGACTTCCTGCTGTTGACTTTCGTTTAGTGTGCGTCCGAAAGTCGTTTATATATTTATATATAGTGTACGCACGCTTGTATTATACTTATATATAAACGTATATATTGACCAATCGTAAATGTGTAAGAAAAACATTGGTGCAGCCTGATTAAGTACCAAACACGGTTTTATATTTTATTAATTAATTGTGAGGAAAAAAGACGCGTTCCAGTTGCGGATGAGTAAGAAAACAAACATTACGCTGTAGACGATGAGCGGTGGCGACGACGACACGTTGTTATATACATGTGTTTATATATATATATATATTTAGGACTTACGCGGTGTAGCAGTATCTCGGACGGTTTATTGTCTTAATCGATGACGTACCCAACGTCCAGATTAAAAGCAAACATCAGACAGGAGGGCTACTTTATTACCTTCAGCTATAAAATTTGGCTTTAATCTCCTTGCTCCGGAGATGAGGTGGTTCCTCTGCTGTGTTATATATTATTAGATATCAAATCCACAATGCACTTGCCCTTCTACAAACCACCGCTTCTCTCTTCGCCTGTTAAGATTTCATTTCCGATAACGATGTAACCTAATTTTCACACGAGTTTAATAAAGTAATAAAACTCTGGACAGAATATACTTATCAGGTTTTTTCTGATATTTAATTATATATTATTATTTTTTTTACTTAACCTTTTACTGATATTTGTTTAAAAATGTTTTATCTGTTGTCAGTAATTTATCTTAACGCAAAAAGAAACTATAATAAAAATATACATAATATTGTAGAACAATTCTATTCAAGCGGTAAATAAATAATTTTAAAAATACTATAATATTATTATAATTTATAACTCTTGTTTTATTCAAAATTTCAGAATTTAAAGATTAAAATACAAAATTGTGAAATTTATGTATCAGAATAAACAACGGAAATAAGTTGTTAGTCATATATACTCATATCCACCATCCAAGAATTATGTCGACGGTTCTACATAAAAACTACTTTGTTAACAATTATTTAAATGCTAACATATGTATATTATTTCGGATACACTACAGCACCAAAACGGCTAAAAAATCAAGTTTTGGCATTAGTTAACAACTGTGATAGGTTAGAATATTCAATACAGTATTGATCATTAGGTATGAGTTAATTTTCAACCCGGCGGTAAAATATTACTAATATCGGGAGTTATACAGTTTAGTATTGGACCTGGAATTATACTTATGGCAAAATTACAACTGATAATAAACCTAATTGAGTCTGTGAAAACAACTAATTGATCTAGGATTTTCCTATTGTTGTATATTCTGCGTTATTTATTGTTATTGATATGAAATTAATTAATTTAGGAAAAAACATCTCTGATAAAATAGCTTTGCAAAAATATCTCCGTAAAAAAAGATTCTTAGTAAATAATTATCATGTAAATGAAACTATGCATATATACAATATTATGTAATATAAGTATTGCTGCTATAGATTTTGCAGCTGCATAGATAATATCATGAATTGTTAATAGCTATAGCAATAAATGTAAATAATAGTAAAGTAAAATAACAAAAAATATAAATAAATAATTTAAGAAATTTTTACAATTTAAAAATAACTTAATAACATTCTTTACCAATGTTATGAATGACAAAATACATTATTATTAATAATAAGTAATAAGTATAATTATAAACAATAATAGATACCTATACCTATACTTGCAATAGGTGAAATTTGTATTCTATATACACAATTATTTTTTGAATGTGGCTTAGCGTGGCACGTTGGGTACTACTAGTCGCGGAATGCGATTGGGAGTAACAACCACAGCTACTAACTCCCGGATGGGTGACCTAGCGGGTTCATAATGGTAAAAACCTTGCCACACATACACGCGTTTACTATCAACCGTAACAATTGTAAAAAACAACTACCGTACCAATTTTAACCCTGCCACAGTTCATAACCCATACAATAGCTAATGGCCCTAGTCGCTGAGTTTAAGTTCAATAAAAAAATAAGTATTTTTCGAGTATAGGATGGATTTTCGGAGATTTTCTTTACTATATTTTTGTATTAGGCTTTTTTTGACTATTTTCGTTTAAATATTTAAATCAGAGGTACATAGTTAAACATCAGTAAGATATTTTTCTATAGATGATAAAAATTATATTTTTTATTTATTAACAATTGTTATTAACTTGTAATTTATAATCTAGAGCACCAAGATTTCTTTTTTTAATTCAGTGATAATACATTAATAATTAGTTTATCGACTAGCGAGGTTATAAATGTTATAATTATTTTAATCACAAATATTTATAGTGAAAAAACAGTTGTATTGTTTTAATATGTACGTTCTCAGTAAATTTGTAATGTATATATAATGTACTTTATTCATACTACTTATCATAAATTTTAATAGGATAGCGCAATATCTACATAGAATATATAATTCTCAATTTAAAATTTAAAAAAAAAAATTAATATTTATTGAGTAAAAAATAACATTATCTATGACAAAAAAAAAAAAAATGTGATAATTCGTTTAATTTGTTATCCTTAACCTTTGGAATACGTGAGCAAAGTTAAATGAACTTTTATAAAAAAAGAAATATGTAAATTATTACATATTGTTTTTATGATGTTTCAACAATAATATGTCAATCATCTAAATAAATTAATTGTAAATTATTGGATATGACTTTATAATTTTTTTGTACAAAATATAGCTTATTTGAGCCATCGGTTCTAAATTCTAATATATATTATACTATAATTGTATATAAGACACAAGTTTTAAATTTATAATCATATACAGTTTGTGTAGTTAACCACGTTTTTAGTATAAATTACAGTTATATAATTCATAATTTATATCATTTAATATATATATATTTATGTATAAGACTCGTGGTTGGGTATTTTGGATGTAATTAGAAAAATATTTATTTTTTAAGAATTTAAACTGATTATATTTTGGTTATGCCTCTATTTAGTAAATAACGGAAAGGATAAATTATGATGTTATGACGGAAATCACCTAAAAAAACATATACATAAACACTTCTTAAGGACGCTCTTAGAATACTAAATTATTTATCTTTTTTTTTTAGTCATAACATTGGCCGTAAAATGAAGATTTATACACAAGCGTATTAAACGATTGTATAGACGCCAGGCCAGTGTAATATATAATATAAATTAGTGCACCTATAGTTAAATTTGTTGAAGTGGAAGGACGAAAAAATTAAAAACAATAAATAGATATATTTTAAAAAATATGATGACAATTTATTATAATATTATCGTATCGTACACTGTGATATATTATAAAATAGAGTAAAATGAACATTTTTACATCAACGGCGGTGATTCGAACCACTACATATGCAAGAATGCGTTCAAGTGCCGAAAAAAAAAAACTGGTAAATGGTTGTTTGTTTATTCACATTTTCAATATAAACATAACATATTATTATATATGATATCGATTTATTTTCTTAACGCCTCGTCTTGGTGTGGGGCACTTTTGTCCACTAGATCGATGTATATATAGTCCGGTGCGACCCGTCCACGCAAAACCTACACGCTTTACCCATATGATACTTAGGTATGTATACTTGCATGCACGGGACTGGGAATTAGAACGTTTTCGGCAAATATTTCTTTACATATATTACCTACCTCTACCTACTCGGGACCTCATATCTTATTAAGTACGAACAAAAAAATAAAATAAAAACGTGTCGGTTTTCACGCACCAAAACACGCGCGATATTTAAAATTTAATGCACAAATATATACATACGTATATATTAATAAAGACGACCGTAAATCCTTAGCGATCCCTTCGTGTGGCGGCCCGGTCGAAACACAATGTATATATATATCATACAGTAAACACATATGTTGTATAGAGATGATGTATATATACATATAAATATATATATATATATATATACGTATACCTATACCACGGGTGTTTTATTACTATTATTGTGACTGCGGGGATGATAACCACACGTGACCGGGCCGAGAGGTTTCGACAAGTATATAATTATGTGTACGATACGACCACTTCTTCTTATATATGAGCCGCACTTGACTGCACATATATGACACACGACGACGACGTGTAGAATAATAATAATATGACAGTCGATTGACGATCCACTAAGTACCTACCCCGTATAAGTACTTGGTGTTTTTATTAGACAGCTGCATCATTATTATTGCTACAGCTCAGCTATATATATATATATATATATTTACATTGTATAATATGTATAGTAGTAGTATGTTTTAATATGTTCTGTATTCTTCGCAAATTCGGTGAATCCGAGTATCCCGCCCAGTCTATCGCGTACGCACTCGAGCTTACCCCTATCATCCATACATATCACATACATGTCCGGCTTTTTCCCTCCCCTCCATGTATATCACTTACGTACCCATTCATACCCCTCCCCTACCATCAATGCTTATCACATACGTATCGGGTCTTGTCATTCACATATCACATGCATGTAAGGTCTTATCATTAACATAATACCATAGCTGGTATCTAAATGATGGTAATCATATCACTAACATGATACTATATGCTTCTAAATAATATTTCGAAATCAAACCTAAAATATTATTTACATTTTGAATAGTTGAACAAGAAAATTAAATAATAATTTACTATTTAAAGCATACACTCGAAGTATTATACAACCATTACTCGAAATTCTTAAAATAATATTGCAAAATGTGAAAGTATCCAACTTTTAATTACTTTTTTAATGATCTGTGTAGGTAGTAAACCATACTGTTATTCCTATATCATCACAATATTTTAGGTTCGAATAAAGCAGAGTATTGTCAACAATATCGTCAGTAATAGTACAATCATTCTAGCACCAAGTCGTTATTCTATGTTTTTAAAATTATTTTTCACTATTTAAAAATTAAATTTATAAGTGTTTCTTAACATGACTGATTCAATCATGAATAATGCGACTATATACAAGAAAACCTTTACATATATTCCACCAACACCACCTTTAGAACTCATTGAATCTACTAACTATACACTAAACTTCGTGAAACGTAAGTTTATACATATTGGGATCGATCTAATAGCGATATATTCAGAATAGTACCTAGTACATATAATAACTCCATCATGTTATGTTAATATTTCAATCGAATTTCTAAAGCGGATATTTTCACTAATGGGTAATATCCAATCATTTCTATTAGAACAAACAGAAAAATGTAAAAGAACCATACTTCTCGAGACAGAGCATTTCGAATTATTTAGTATGATGTGTAGTGGGGCAAACACTTAAGTTATAGAGTCTAAGATACATGGCGGGTGTCTAATTCTTATAATTCTTACGGAACTCATACGATTTTAATGTTTGGAATGGTGTATTGAAACAATTATACGAAAATCTACTATCATGTAATCAATCATCTTAAAACAATTTGATATACCTATTTACAGACTATCTCGATAGAGAACTTGTCAACGTCGAATCGACAGCAAGAACGAGTGAAGAAATGACTACGTTTATTAAAAATATACGTGACGACCATATTATTGCAAACACTTCTAAACATGATATTAATTTCATCAGTCAGCTCAAAATGAATGCATTTACACAATTAACGGAACATTCGATACAACGGTGGAATAGGGAAATGTCATCAAAGGTAATTTAAAAAATATATTTATACCACTTACAATAAAAAAAAAAATGTATATCAATTATTTAATATTTTAGTTATTTAATGGAAATGTGATAATGATTTCACTAACCTCTTCACCAAGCATCATGGCCGACAATATATTTGATTCACAAAATTAGGAGGAGAGATGTTTTCAATACAAAGATAATTTATAAAACAATAATATTAAATATATGATTGTTTTACATATTATAATATATTTTTTTCAGTCATATGATTCGATTCATGATCTACTACAATCATTCGATGAAAACGACGGTCCTGATTTTTACAACATATAATCCTCACCTCTACCACATCAATCAACGTATGCAGATTTCCCAACTCCATTACCTAGAGTAAAATGTAAACTCTTTTGACATTTATATGAATTAATAATTTATGTGAAATAAAAAGATATTATATGTTATAAAAAGTATGTTTTCATTTATACTAAAGTAATAATATAAATAAAGCATATTATTTTCATTTAATGAGATAATATTATATTCTACATTATACACAAAATTGTTATATTTAGTAAATATAATAATAATAATAAATATATTTAAATATATATATTTTTTTTTTTTAATCTAAAATTTATACAATCTATACAATAAGCAGAATGAATGATTTTCTTTATATGCAGTGGCTTGAGTGATATTTAAATATGATCCAGTTCCATAAATATATCGCATATTATTATAATAATATTTTATTATCTGAAGGTAATGGCTATGAGTCTACTAATGGCATACTAGAAATAGTAATTTCTCTATTTCATATATATGTGCCATATCATTCTACATAGTGTACTCAATTAATATGTTAATAATAAATAAACGATCTTGCTGAATAATAATAATAATAATAATAATAATATAATATATATATTATTGTATTTGTGTAACATTTTCATGCTCAAAAATTGTTTCGCTTAGTAAATATGAAAATAATAAATATTTATAATAATATATATGAAAAAAACATAATGATGTCGTATGCTAAGTCTTATTCATCATCCGCCCCTAACTTATAGACGTATTGAAAATATAAAAATTTCGTTCAAAATTATTAATGATTCCTCCCCCCTCAATACCTCACGTCTAAGTAGACTGTGAAAGTGTAAATGAATAGTATTACATACCGCTACTCAATATGACATTGGAAAAGCTTAGTTTTCATATCGTTAACGAATCGTTACAATATACACGAAACATTGTATTCACCTAAGAATGCTTATCATATACGGGTCGAATCTTGTCATCCCCATTCTTACCACACATGCTTATCACGTACATGTTGGGCCTTATCATATCGCTAGTACGATACTATAAGATCTTACCCTTTCAATCCATACCTACCATACCTATCACATACGTGCATGGTCCTTTCCTGTCTCTCATCACTATACCATACCACGCCACTCCCCGCTTTAGCCTACTACTCTATGCCATATCAATAAGTAATCAGACATTATTTAAACATTGTTTTTCGATTCAATATCGTTCATTAGTTTATCTACTAACAATGACAAAGTCCCAATATGAATAATTGTTCGCATATATATATATATATACATATAACTGTACGCAAGTATTTTGTTTTCCGAATAATTTATAACTGGAAAAATATTGTTTTTGAATTCATTGTAGATTGACGAAGATTGTATTCGTATAAAAGAAACAAGGTTACATCATAACATAAAAAAAATGTTTAATATCGGAGTAATCGCAATGTGTTTATTAGTTTTACATATGAACTGCACGCCTCTAAAAATATTTAAAGAAAAAAAGGTGAATAAAACATTAGAATTCATGATAAATTAATAATTTAAAATATTTTTTTCAAAACAACCCAAGAATAAACAGGAAAAAATCATGAAATCATTAATAAGGATACACATATTATGTCAAAAAATAATGCAGAAACTGATCAATATTCGCAACATTCAAACATATCGTTATAGGAAAGGAATAATTGGATGGCTGCTGTGGAAGAATTTATTACTTTTTATGACTCAACAAAAATGTTTTTCTCCAAGGGCCCATCTCTGAATGAAATTTCGACGAGTGGAATTAACGCGACAAAATTGATTATTGACAAGAAAAATCAAACAATTAATAATAAAATATTAATACATAACAACACACTGACACCCCCTCATTCCACCCAGCACCTGATCCACTACGTGTGTGACGTATACCCTCCACCATCTTGAAACCATATTATTTGACACGCGTCATATTATTGTATTTTTATTATTATTTTATTGCCATATTATTTTCTGTATTTTAATAAATTAATATTAATATCGTTAAACTATTTGAAATTAAGTTGTTTAATTCTCCAAGTAACCATAAGTTAAATCATTTGAAAGAGGGACCATATTTACGTAATTAACGCCACTTTGACCGACGACCACACGCGAAATATATGTTCCACATCACACACTTGACCGTCGATCTGGCTAATGGTTATATATTATATACGTGAATATCCATGACATATATATATATTGTACATGATATATATTATCCTACCCACGGTGCAAGAATTGCAACACGTCTAGTAGCGACTAAGGATTTTTGTCAATGAAATAAAATAAACGCCAATGTTTGTAAAATTAATTGTCTAAAATATTATTCTCGTTAATTTTAAATGACAAAATGCATATCATGATGTCACATATATCCATCATTTACACTCGATTATTTATTTTTAAAATTATTGAAAAAAATAAAATAAAAATTACATTATAATATATATTATTTATAAAGTATATCGTGTTTAATAGACGCGATATTTACATTAAATAAGAATTGTTAAATAGTTAAAACGTTTAAAAAGTTGGATGTTTTACTCGGTTAACATAATAGCTGTCCGTGAATCTTGCCAAATAAGATTTAGGAACCAATTTATTTTTTATACAAGTTGATAGTTTTTTGATATTTAGGTGCATCTTTTTAGTCGATATTTCTTCATGTGAGATGTGATGGCTCCTAAAATTTAAAAGTTTTTAATGCAATATATTCTACAAAATAAATACACATACAAAATTTATCATTATTAGTTATGTTAGATGTTCTCTTGAATTAATAATAACACGATATAATTAAGAATATCTGCGAAGTTACTATTATATGACTAACTTAAATAATTTATCAGTAAAATTATATTTTATCATAATTTATAATAAATTTTAATTGTGTATGAAATTCGTGCTACTTATTTAAACATAGTATAATATTAGTGTTGTTCCAAAAACTGAAAGTTAATTGTTTTCGAGTACATACTCATATAACTTTAAATTTAAATTTATTCCATATTATATAATAATAATTATTTTTTTATATTTGGTATATAATACTAGGGAAAAATGAAACATTTTTTAAAGCAATCGCTTTAGTGAATTATATATTGTATTATTGTTATTGTTTTACGGCTTAAATAAATTATTTAAAAAGTAAAAGAAATAATAAATCATACGTAATCAATGCAAGAAATTAGAAAGCATTTTATGATATAAACCAGTGGTTCTCAATCTTTTTAGGACCGCGACTCAAATTTTCTTCCAAAAATCTATCGCGACCCCCATAGTTTTACATATATAACATATGTAAGTTGTAATAATTCCCGTAATAATTCTTATATTACTTTATACTTCTATTATAGTTCTATAGTCTATACTCTATAGTTCTATACAATTTAAAAAAAACATAAATTTCTTACAATCTGTTTAATTAAAAAAACTTTTTGCGACTTCTCAGTGGGTCATGACCCACAGTTTGAGAAACGCTGATATAAACAATTTGATTCAAACAGAATATAATTTAAAAAAATTATATGAGAAGTATGTATAGTATGTATGAGGTTTATTATTTCAGCAGACAAAATAATACAATCTGTGTAGGTAATTAGTATAAGCGCAAATAGCTTGATTTTTAATTATTTTATAATATTGATTAAAAAAACGAGAGCGTAACCATTACACCATCCAACCATAGTTATATACTATCTACATACAAAAAAAATATTATTTACTAACATCGATTTCATCATATACTTTTTGTATATATTAAACAGAGTAGCTGAAAAACGCATACTGGGATATAATATGTGGTAAAATATTAATTATCATAGTTTATACTATATACTAATTATACTATATATTATATAATAATATATATTTGAAAAAAGAAGTTTGTATTACCGTACCATAGAAAATTTCTTAAATACTTCAAAAATGTTGAGTATTTTAAAATATGGTTCTAAAGTGTACTTAAAAATTCAAAAACTTTAAATTTATATAAGCTTATTATTAAATGAAAAAATTTGGATGAATATACTTGATAAATCGCTTTGTGTATATTAAGGACACAGTATTTAAAAAAATGCTCGGACAATAATAAATATGAAATTATAGAAAATTAAGTATTTTTAACTTTAGATCATTGTGAATCGAGGTAAAAATTTAATATATATAAGTATATAACCATAAAATGTAAATTATTTTATAAGTAACATATTAATAATTAATTAAGCATTTAAAACAAAAAATTATTTTGTATTTTAATATTATTTATTGCAACAACAACATTGTCGTGACATTTAGGTAGGTACAAAAAATGTCAATTTGCATGAAAAATTTATTAATTTAATGGATCAGTCACGGGCCACTAAATTATGTATAGCTTTTTAAGGAACCATTTGTTCAATGTTGATTCGTTAAAATGTTTAGTGACTGTCCATCCAACCCTAAATGACTCTTGCTGGATTGTATGAAAAGTTATCCATTTACACTTCATTTATAATGAAAATTTTTTCGTTATACTCATAATAGCATTATTATTAAAACATTATTTCATAATAATATAGTTATTAATTATTATTATATGATTTATACGTCGTGTAGCAGTAATATAGTACCTACGCTAATACTTACAAGTATACATGTTTTTAGATGTAATACATACAGCTCTAAAATACTAGTTATATTTACAACATTGACCATTTTATAGGTTCAACGTTATAAGTGTAATTATAAAATAATAATATTATATGGTACTAATTATTCTTTAAAGTATTTCGATACCTGATTAGTGTGTATTAACTTTTTGAAACTAAATTTAATTATGTAAAAAATTAGGTACCAATATTAGTTTAAGCTGGTACAGCTGTAT